GAAAACTACCTATTGCCGTAGGTATATTGGATAATTCCCATATTTTCTGAGAATGAGTGCACTCAAATAAAGCATGATTTATTGTTTCCTTTGCCATCTCACACCTTTTACAGAGAAAGTCACATCGGATCCCTCGATGTGCTAATTTTGAAGTAACTGCTAGAGATCCCGTAGCAATTTGCCATAAGAAATGTTTTAGTTTTGGAGGGGCTTTGACTTTCCAAGCTTGTGCTTGTAAATTCTTATAATTTGGGCCACATTCGATCGTTTCTGTCATCTCTCTAGCAACCCGATAGCCTGATTTTACTGTATATCTTCCTGATCTTGTATGATGCCAGATAAGCCTATCTGGCTTATAAACTTTGCTAATAGCCAATCCCCTAATAAACTGAATATCCACTGGATCCAAAAATTCTTGTAAAATGGGAAGGTGCCATTCTTTAGTAACCGGATTAATTAAATGGTTAACCATCAAACTTGGAAGTAATGTTTTTCCTCTTCCATTTGCGGGCCGTGGGTTAACATCAGGAATCTATGGATCTCGCCATACGAAAGTTTAAGGCAAGAAATATTTTTAATGGGGGCAAATTAAATTAAGGGAGACTCACAAAAATGCCCATTTTCATAAATGCCTCATTTGGCTGTACATTTAAAAAAATACCTTTTTATGTACAAAATGACTAAATTATCCTTCTTTTAATAAAAGATATCACAAATATATAAAGAAAACATGAGAATGTGCACACATCAAAATTACAAATTTGATTTTGTAAAAACTTGTAAAACCTTTAAAATATCTTGTAAAATTTTTCCGTAAAAATTTCTACCTTATAAAACCTTATAAGTACCTTGTAAAACCTTTTAAAATACATTGTAAAACTTTACAAAACACTTGTAAATAATCTGTAAAACCTTTAAAATACCTTGTAAATTTTTCCCGCCAAAAAAATTGCGGAATCACTTTTCCCGCAAAAAAAGTTTTGGCGGGAAAATTTTTTGGCGGGAAAAATTTGTACGGGAAAATTTTACAAGGTATTTTAAAGGTTTTGCAAGTTTTTACAAGTGTTTTGGTGGGAAAATTGCGGGATCACTTTTCCCGCCAAAAAATATTTTGTATTTTGTGGAACTAATTTTGTTTCAAATAAGAGTAAAATGGTCATTAAAAATTAAAAGAGGGCAAACTTAAAAATGGACTCTCAAAAGGGGCATTTTTGAAAAAGGGTATTGAAAAAGGGGCATTTTTAACAATTTCTCTTAAATTAATTCCTTAAGAAAATATTCCGTCTCTTAAATTAATTCCTTAACAATTTCTCAAATAACAGTTTGGTTTATCTTAATTCCTTAAGAAAAGGGGCATATATATATATATATATATATACATCTATTGTGTTAAAAATTTATAAGAAAAAAGATAAACCAAACTGCAATAAGACCTTAGATAATGTTGTTGAAAAGTAGACATAGAGCTACCTTTTGTTGTCACTAGATGAAAGTCCGCGCTAAGCGACGGAATATTTTTTTAAAAATAATTTTTTTTTTTTGGTAAGTATATTTTCTTAAAAATAAAATTGTGTCAATATAAGTATGACTGGAAGAAAATTAAAAGGCTCTTAAGATTTGATATCTTGCATTTACTCATATTTTAGTAGTTTTACCCTACTGTTATATATATATGTAAACATTAATAAACATATATTATATATTACTTTTAGAAAAATAAATTGTTGATATAAAATAACATGATAATTTGTTTGTTTGTTGATACAAACTCTCATATAATAGTTCATTCATATTATTTTTTAAGTGGCATATAAATTTGTTTTTCTTAAAACATTTATATTAACTTCAATCTATATATATTTTTTTAAAGATCACAAGGATAACTTCTATCTTTCTTTCTTTTCTTTTTTTTTTTTAAATTTCACTCATCAATTTAAATGGTAGTGCTAGATTTCATACTAATGGTTTCATCTTTGTATGATTTAACAAATTGATTTTTGTTTTAATTATAGTTATTTTTAATATATTTTACTCTATTTTTACTAAATTTAATTTTCTTGAAACATCTGATCTCATTTTTGAAATTTTAAAGACCACATTGTTTTAAGAGAAATTGTTAAAAATGCCCTTTTTTCAATACCCCTTTTCAAAAATGCCTCCTTTGAGAGTCCATTTTTAAGTTCGCCCTCTTTTAATTTTTAAAGACCATTTTACCCTTATTTGAAACAAAATTAGGTCCACAAAATACAAAATATTTTTTGGCGGGAAAAGTGATCCCGCAATTTTCCCGCCAAAACACTTGTAAAAACTTTAAAATACCTTGTAAAATTTTCCCGTGAAAATTTTTCCCGCCAAAAAATTTTTTTGCGGGAAAAGTGATTCCGCAATTTTTTTGAAGAAATGTTTTTGGCAGAAAAAATTTTCTAGGTATTTTAAAGGTTTTACAGAGTATTTACAAGTGTTTTGTAAGGTTTTACAATGTATTTTAAAAGGTTTTACAAGGGACTTATAAGGTTTTATAAGGTATTTATAACTTGTAAAACCTTATAAAAAACTTGTAAAACCTAATAACTTGTAAAACCTTATAAAATAGCTTGTAAAATCTTATAATATCTTATAAATACCTTATAAATACGTTGTAAAACCTTTTAAAATACATTGTAAAACCTTATAAATACCCTGTAAAATACCTTGTAAATACCTTGTAAATTTTTTCCGCCAAAAAAATTGCGGAATCACTTTTCCCGCAAAAAAAATTTTTTAGTGGGAAAATTTTTTGGCGGGAAAAATTTTTACGGGAAAATTTTTACAAGGTATTTTAAAGGTTTTACAAGTTTTTACAAATCAAATTTGTAATTTTGATGTGTGCACATTCTCATGTTTTCCTTATATATTTGTGATATCTTTTATTAAAAGAAGGGTAATTTAGTCATTTTGTACATAAAAAGGAGTATTTTTAAAAATGGAGAGCCAAAGGGGGCATTTTTGAAAAGTGGTATTGAAGAAAGGGGCATTTTTGTGAGTCTCCCTTGTTTTAACGAAGTCTTTTTGTTTTCAAAAAACTCTTAAACCTCAAACTTTAAATAAAATAAACATTATAAGATCTTTATATAATTATCTATTGGATCACAAAAATTAAATATAATAATACATATATTAAAATAAGAAAGAGATAAGAAAAATATATTTGATAAATGTATTACAATAATTTATTTCATTAAATATTGAATAAATAAAAAATGCATGAATATGTTACAAAATAATCAAACACCTAAAGTAGATAATGGAAATGGATATTTTCAACTTCATTGTCTTATTGTGCGATGATTGTAATTGATATATTAAACTCTCTATCACCCATAAACCTGAAATTTTTGTTATAACCATCAAAACTTTTATTTTTCATAAAAGAATTTAAACTAAAATATGAAAATTAAAAAAGAAATAATTATATTCTAGAACATCAAACTTTGTATAATAAAAAGATATACTTTAATCACTTTATCACTTTTTGTACAGTTTCCTTTTTAATATATGTTTACAAAAAGATAGTACTTGAAATTATTTTCTTATTAGATTTGTAATTTACTTTATTAAAAAAAGGAATAATGCTTTTAATTGTTTTTTATTAGGATTAGTAATTTACTATTATTTTTCGTTTTATATACTTTTCAAAAATAGTACCATTTTCCTTATTTTTAATTAATTTTATAATTTCGTTAATTAATATAATTTGTTTACACATTTCAAAATCTTATCGATATATTTGATACCTGTCGCCATCATTTGAGTTACTAATTTTGAAAACCATACTTTATATAATACGATCGTGCTTAGAATTTTCTAGATTATTGTAATAAATCTTATATAAATTAATAATACAGAACTGCAAATTAGTGCCTTAAGGTAAAAACGAAAATAGAAATAATTATTTTCTCTAACTTAAAATTTCTCTATTTATTTCCTAAAAATTGTTTCTACTTGCAGCAAAAGTTTATATCTTTTTTGTTAAATTTAATTTAATTTAAAAGTTTTTATATCCGCACATCGGACGGGTCTTTATCTAGTATAATATAAAGCATAGCGTCATGTTTGATTCTTTATTCTGAAAAAAATCAGTGTAGATAGCTTCTTTTAATGTTTCTATATTTATTACTGTTTTTAGATTTTTTTTTCTTTTTCATAGGAGCAATTAATCTCAACTCCAAAGTCAGAGTAATCTCCTAGTCAACAGAAATTCTTACTAGTTGAGTAGTTTATATATATGTAATGGTATCAACCCACTCTTATCATCCAAGAATATTTCCCAAGTCCCCAATTTGAGATTTAAATCACTTTTTATTTTCCGGTGGAATCTATTTATTTTGAGAAAAAAGGATTCTTGTTCTGACACAACTATGTACTTCCTCTGTTTCAAAATATAAGATGTTTTATGCATTTTATTTTGTTTCATATTATAAGATGTTTTACAAATTTCTATGCAAATTTAAATGTATTTAATCATTTGTGACCATTTATATTCTGCAGTATTTTCTATGATTGATGTGATTTGTTTTTATTAAATACAAATCATATTTTTTAAAAGAAAAACAAATTACCTAAATATGTATCTAAATATGTACGTTTTTACCTTAAACATCTTATAATTTGAAACGGGAGGAGTAATAAACTAAGACTACACCAACAATGAGTTGGCCTAGTGGTTAAGCCCTTTGGTTACCGATAATGTAGAGACTTTGGAGGTCACGGGTTCGATTCACGTTGGGAGGGGTCTGCTGTCCAAAAGAGAGTTATATTACATTGTTTGGGCCTCGCCCTGAAGAATGTAAGGGTCTACGGAGACTCTGAACCTCCTAATCATAAAAAATAAATAAATAAATAAAAATAAACTAAGACTACCTTCATTTCAGGTTGACACCGTTCGTGTCGTGTGACCATTTTATCGGCCTCACTTCTCGGCGCAAATACCAAGTCTCAACGTCCAACTTCTCTCTTCTCTCTCATAGACAGACTAATATAGAACATGTGTTATATATAGTAATGAAATGATCAAACGAATTTATATATAAGGTCAACGCTTTTACACCAATTCTAATAATTATCAAATTATTAAAAAGGTATCAGCTCCACTTAAGATCCAAATCCCTCATCATCAACTCTCCTATATAAACATTCGAACTTCTTAACGATTCGTCTCATAAAAAAAGGAAAAAAAAAATACAAGAAAGAAAACACTATCCACAAAAATATCAAGAAACCCAATGTTTTCAAATATATTGGCCGTGGTGGCTATACAACTCCTTATACGCAGCGTTTCTTCTCAAAACGTTACCAATGAGTATTTGAACCACCAATGCAACAACACCCAAGGGACATACACGCGGGGGAGTACGTTTGAGAAGAATCTCAACCAAGTCATCCATAACATCTCCCACCTTCATCTTCGCAACGGTTACACCTACGAATCCAATGTTGTGGCTTATGAAGTTAGTAAGGATCCCAACATTGTCTTCGTTTTGCTCCAGTGCCGTGGTGACTCGTACGGGTCTAAGTGCCACTCCTGCCTCCATACAGCCCTCTCTGGGGTAACTTTACTTCAGTATTATATATTTTCTTCGTCCCACAAAGATAGATTTTTTAGAAATTTCATATTATTTAAAAAAATAATGTATAATGACAATTTTAACCTTTTAACCTTGTTGTTTAATAAGGGTAAAGGAGATAAACTGTTTTAAATTTGACATTGGAAACACAAAACTTCTATCATTGTGGGACAAATTTATTTTCTGAAAAATCCATCTTTGTGGGACGGAGGGAGTATTAGAAGTCACATATTTCCATATATGAATGTACACACACGACCAATCTTAGGTAAATCTTAGAGATAAATGTATAAACGGTGTATAATTATTCTAACGTGATCTAATTGATAAAACTGATACGCATTTTTAAGGCTAGTACAAAAGAAAGCTAATTGTTATATGTAGATTATTCCATGCAATGTTGTTCTTGATCGGTGTGTATAAAATTTTATATATATGACAGCTTCGTGAGAGATGTCCGGGAAACAGAGGAGCAATAATATGGTACGACCAGTGTGTTTTGGAGATTTCTTCAATTAATACCAAGGGGAGGATTCGTTACGATAGTTTTTTCAATATGACCAACCTGAAGAATGTGAGTAGCGATGCGGAGCAGTTTAAAAATAAAAGGAAAGATCTCTTCAACAAGCTATTGGTAAAAGCCACTAAGGATGTAAGCGAAAAGAATGGTTGGTACGCAGTGGGTGAGACGAGGATAGGGAGAAATAAGTTGTATGCAATGATGCAGTGTGCGCTAGACTTAACGCCGAACGGTTGCTATGTGTGTCTAGAATGGATTACCGGTAGGTATGATAGTTACTACTTCGACCGTAGACAAGGAGGGAGAGTTTTGGGTAGGAGTTGTAGCTTAAGGTATGAGCTTTACCCTTTTCTTAGAAGGTAAAAGGACTTTTAGATGAGAGCTCCATTTCTCTCTACCTCTCACGTTTACTTGTTTGATTTTCTCTTCTCTTAAAGAGATATAAAACACTCAGGAGAAATAGTATGGTATGGAGAGACTTTTTCAAACAATTATTTAGATCGTATGTGTGTTTTATATATATATTTTTAATAGCTTTTATGTAATAGTTTCAGTACAAGGTCATTTTCCAAGTATATAGATCAAGGTCGGATTTTAACATATTCAAATTAGCGTTTGAATTTTGTGGTAACTCAATAAACTATAGGCCATTTTGCAATGTAATTTCAACATAATAAATATCCCATTATTCGTCAATTTTAAAGGCTTCTCTAGCAATTCTCAAAGTTAGCATAATAACAAGTTTTGAAAACAAAATTAACACTTACATTATTCCTAAACGTCCCATTTATACCACATTCTTAGTCTCACAAAAAACAAAAATAACCTTTCATTTAACAAACAACTAAAATACCTAGCAAATGGCAGAGGAAAAACATTATGGATCGTGATTCGTCTTCCTCTCATCGTTGGAGATTCTCGGAAGTGTCTCCTCGCTAGCATATAGATCGCGTCCATATATAGCCGGAGCTCTCTCATCGTCCGATATACGGTATGATGAGTTTATGATCAGACGCTAATGGCCACTTTCATCATGATGATCAATTCTAGATGATAGTGGACAGAAAAAATAACAATGTTGAAATTAAGCTGAGTTGTTAATTTTTATAGATATATTTGTATGATGTAATTTTGTACATTTAGATCAACTATTCATAATTTAATATCTTCTCTTTGCCATCTTAATCCAAACTTGTTAGAAGTAATGTCTTAAGGAACTGTAAAATCATAGATTTTATGCTTAAGTCCTATATAATTATGCTCAACACATTATTATATAACAAAAAATATAGCATTTTTTGTTTACTTTTAATACAAAAACAGAAGACGATTTCATATATAGACTAGCATTACTTGCAGACTACGGTTTCAGCTGCAACTGCCTAACATGTGCTTTCATAAGAACAGATAATTTTTTTTTTTTTCTATTTAAAACATGATTAGAGATTACTCTTATACAATGATTCTTATTGATTTATAAATCTCTTTTTTCCAACAAAAATGCTTTAAAACAACTTCATTTTATAATCTCCTTTAGAATATTTGAAATAAATTTTGATTAAAACTACATCGTTTGATTTTTCTAAATAATACAATAGTTTCATGTAAAATAAAAGTTAGAGTTGACACAAAAGAAGTCTAAAGCAACAATTTTTTTTTAACTTGCTTTAGAACTTCAAATAGTTAGGACTGGTCTTGGCGTTAACAAAAGGGTAACGCTCAAACCTAAAGTTACAGCTCCTACCGAAAACTCTTCCACCTATTTTCAAACCTACTGGTTTATTTTCATAGCAATTTTGAAATTTTATGACATTGTGACTCACACACTCCACACAAGCCTTAGGAGTTAAGTCCTTCGTACACTGAACCATTACATAGATCTTCTTATTTCCGAACCTCTTCTCTCCTGCCGCATATAGTGCCGGTTTGTCCACATCTTTTACGAAATTATTTCTTTTAGTGACGGCTATATTTGTCAGATTATCGATGAGAGTCAAAAACTCTAAAACTTCATCACGGGTATGAGTTTTCGCATTCGGCCTTGCCCTTGCGGTATCAATACAGAAATTGTCATCATAATTGATCTTCCCTGAGGTACTGATCGAAGAAAACTCGAGAAGACAATGATCGTACCATATTATCGCCCCCTTATCTCTCGGACATCTCTTAAAAAGCTGTCATTTACATTATGCATATCAACACCACAATCAATATCAACATTGCACAGACTAATTTGCATATAAGATAGTTTTTCTTGTCTATTATACGATCATCTTGAAGATGGTACAAAAAATGACGTGTGTGTGCGGTGGTAGTTACCTCAGGCCGGGCAGTGGCAAAGCAAGAGCGGCACTGGGGCCCGTAAATGTCTCCACGGCACTGAAAGGTGATGTAGACCCTTTCAGGCTCCAAACGAACTTCTTTAATATCGGTGTGGTCCATATAGACGAAACCACCACGAAAAGCTTCCTTATCTTTCGACAATTCTTGGATGCCAGAATCGAGGACTTTCTTGTAGTGGCTTCCTGGCTTGTATTCCCCTTGATTGGCAGAGCATTTGTGGTCCACGTACGCATTGTTCATGTTCAAGGACGAAACGCTGCGCATAAGGAGCACTTGTGCCACCATGACCAAGATAGGGACTAAAATGAGGCGTTTCAATACAGAGAATGAAGAGTACATTGTTTTAGAGTTTTATTACTATGTTTTCCAAACAGTGATAGTGGTGTTTATGTAGGATTTGGATATAAGTTATATATTTAGTTTACAACTTTTGGTTATATGAGATTCTACTGATAAATAAAGTTTCTAATACAATATATATAGAGTTTGTAATGAACAGGGAGAGAAGTTGGTATTTGCGGCGACAAAAGAGGAATTGTAAGGTGTGACTGAGTTCAAACTCTTTCAATCACACGATTGTAAGATGATGACCTGGAATGAAGGAATTGTTACTGGTTAAAAATAGTTGCATATTACACAACGATGACCCACCTAGAAAAGAACTATTGTAAGAATTTCAAAAGAGCCCCGGATACAAATTTCTAAAAGAACTCTCTGTGTAATAGAGGTGGACTTTTGTTTACTAATAGGTCATTAGGATGTCATATATATTACCCATTTCGCAGTTTAAATATCAAAGCAGATATGTTAGAACGTATATATATATATATATATATATATATATATATATATATATAATTTTTATTATATATATAATCATCACATCTACGCCAGAAGATAGAGTCTAGTTATTGTTAATGTTGTACCAAACATAATTAATGTAGAACTCCCCTAGAAACACCAAAAGATTACTTTAGAAACATACTTTTTGTGTTCAAAGTTTTTGCCGTTATGATCAGTCAAACGGAATCAACTTCATTGGCTTTCCTCTGATCAATCACATCAACGTTTACATCCTCCTCAAAATTTTAGCCTTTGGCTGCTTCAAGATTCTCTTCATCAAATTCTGTAACTTCATCAAGTGTCCGAGCTGCCAGGCTTGTAGATAACATTACATTTCAAAAAAGTTATTTTATATCACTTATTTTGTATATTTGCATCAGTTATAATTGATGCAAATTAGTTTTACATCACTTATATGCAGCACACCACATAAACAAACTCTATTATCTCTGCTTTAACTATCACGACAAATACGTCTTTAACTGTCTGCTCTATTCTCCCTAAAAGATTGTTTTTAATCTCCCTAACACAAGTTTAATATAATTTAATCTCTTTCTTTTTTCTAGTGAAAGGTATACTAGGAATGAAAGTTTCAGACGAGTGATACAGATTAGAATACGTTTTAACGATATTTCAAAAAATTATTTCGTAAATATACATTTTTCTTCAAAGAGAATAAGTTTTATTTTAATTAAGCAATTTTTTCCTGTTTTTCTATAAATGTAATAAATATCGGTTGTGAAAGGCGAGTTATCAGCTGTCAGTATAATGTTCGCCTGTAGAGCATCTCTAATGGTTGGGTATATGCTTTGTTCTAAAAATAGAGTTCTCTAAAATTATAAGTAGAGGTTTGCTCCTTTCCTTTTAAAATTTACAAATTCTACCCACTTATTTTATTTGTAAGAAAATATCTAATAAAATTACAATATTATTAAAAATATTTCATTACAAATATAGAAGATGGAGTCATTAATATATTTTTATTTAACCATCACCATTAGTGTAATCTCCCACAAATGGTCAACTAATGTTTTTCGAAAGTGAGAAATAAGCTTTTTGTTTCTATATCCAGCAAAACTATTCTAGAAATTGAGTATTTTCATCCCTCTCTATTTTGACTTCTATAGGTGGAGCTTCTCTTCCAACTTTAATTAATTTAGTAACTATGATTTTTAATATAAATTTATCTAAGTATAAAATTTAATTATAATTTTGTTTAGATATAAAATAATAATATATTAAAATTGAGAGACTACTTTGTAAATAAACAAGTTGTTACTTTGGAGCAACACTATCAATTTTTTATTTTTGGAGCAAAATATAGAATATCATTGGAGATGATTTTACACCAAAAATAAAGTTTGGATCCGATTTGAAACACCATTGGAAATGTTCTTAGTTTTGGTCCTTGTTCAAAAACGCGGGCGCCTAGGCGATTAATCGCCCAGTAACACCGCCGCGATTTTCAATAATCGGCCAATTTAATCGTTGACGGACTAATAGTCCATTAATCGTTGAAAATCGGCCCATTAACCGATTAATGGAAGAAAAAAAAACTGGACTAATTTTTACACATTTTGGGCCTTAATTGCTCAAGGCCTCATTTATTGATTTACAGCTAAACCATCTACTACTATTTATAAGACAAGTTTCCAAAAGCTTTTACTCTACTAACCAATGTGGGACTTTTAGTTTTAATTGCTTCCTTTTGTCTTTTGCTTCCAACAATCACGTTATTTCTCCAACGACCATATTATTTTTTATTTATATTATTTAGTTTGTGTGCATAACTTTTTACTTTACATCTAATTTTTATTTTGTAATAATAATAAAAGAAATATCATGGTAATAACTAAGTATAACTTAGATATTTATAATTTTGCTAACAAAACTAGTAAATTTTGAGTAGAGTCTCTTCAAACTACATTGAACATACCAATATTTTAGTAAATTTTGCATAAATGTTATATATATATATATGATAAAAATATCAAAAAAATAATCCCGATTAATTCCCGTTTAATCTCCGATTTTTCAGCTAGGCGCTAGGCCCACCCCGAGCGCCCGATTAACGCCTAGTGATTTTTTAAACAAGGGTTTTGGTTCATCTTCGTTTTTTTTTTTTAACCAGGTTGTCCGGGGCCCACCACTTGTGGTCCCGACTAGCACCGTATTGGGCATTGCCCTCAAGTGTGGTCCTGGTGGCCTTACATACCGGGTTCACGTTATCCCATCGCTAAGGGTGTGGCAGTGGCCAAATGGGATAAAATCCAGGAGTGTCGCGCTTGCAGAGAGTCGATCCCTGGCCTGGACCAACAGAGTCGCTCCTCTGCAAGTGGAAACCACTGGACCACCACCACTTAGGTTTTGGTTCATCTTCGTCATACACCATTCTTGGTTATTCCGATGTACTTATTATCATTGTTAATTTTTTGAAGTTATGTGTGGATAAGATATGTATTGAATAAGCTGTTCAAAGTATGAAACCCATTATATATTTGGTGTATTCATCATTAATTTGCTACATTCACAAAGGTTAAACACAGAGAGATTAATTTAATTTGTTGAAAAATTGGAAAGAGTCATTTTTCATATGATGTAGATGAGGAATTAATTCAAATTTAGCTGCTTTTTGTTTTGTTTTTTGGAATTAAAATTTTATTTACACAGTCTTACTTCCTCCAAGTTCTTGAAAAGGCAAAGGTACAGACTTGAAGGCTCTATATTTCCCCACGTTGTTCAAATGCTCATTCTCCAACCTGATTGCAAAAACAAAGATCATTAAAATTTTATCTTCCGATCTTTTTCTTCGATCAAAATACCTGAAAATCGGGTTTTAAGTTACAATCGAACCTGAAAAAGTTCCAAATGCCACGACGAACAATCTCTAAACTTGCAACAACAGCAACCAAAGCTCTTTTGTGCAAAAATGGAGCTTCTTTAATCCCAAGAACCGTCTGCATCCATGCCAGCCTCAGCACCACATTCACCACCTTTATTCCAAATCACAATCTAGCTGTTAGAAACCCCGCGAAAACACTACAATTCAAACCCGAAAAAGTGTATTTTTTCTTATTATTTATTTTTGGTTTACCATGACAATGAAGTAGATGCTTTTGTAAGGGACTAAGAGTTTGTCACGAAGCCACGGGTTCTTGGAGTTGCGGTTCATGAGACCCCAGTCCTTGAAAATGTCCCAATAAGTATTGAAAATCGTGGCAATGCTCGAAGTGGTTACAGCCACCGTGAGCCAGTAAGTCCCTCTCTTCATCTCAAAAATTGTCCTAGCCGCAACCGCCAATATAGTCGACAAATACTTCAGCGCGTTAAGGCCGTGCATTTTGTCTTTCTCCTCGACCAACCTCCTAATAGACTGAAAGAGAAAAAAACAAACAAAAGTAGTTTTAAACATTTTGAAAATGTTATGAAACCGTAAGAAATGCGGGTTCAATGTAAACTACGGAAACATTTACATGTTTAGCAACAGAAAGAGTGGCGGGTTTAATGTAAAGTATGTTTGTTTTTTCTAAGTACCTGAGCGAAGCGGAACCAGTAAGGAATAATGGCGACGACAAGGTAGAGTTCTTTGTAAATTTCACTATCATAGCATGTGTGTGTTCGTTTCTTAAAATCTCCGCCCCATCCATAGTAGCAAACATAAAACAATAAGCTTCTGAATGTTTGGACCTGTGAAACAAAAACCTAATTAATGATCTGTCAAGAAGAAAACATATAGATTAACCAGATGCTAAACCAAGCAACTTGTACCTGACTTGTCAATTGATCTGCGAGGAAGAAGTCCGGAAGAATAACCTGGCAAAGGAAACCATACTCACGAACTATATGTAACATTTTTTTCAGGTTTTATTTCTTGGATTGAACGTTACCTTGTAGAGAGGACTTAAAAGACAACGAAAGACGCTTCCAACAAAGAAATATCGGCTTGAGCGATATATTATATTGAATGGACAGAACAGCGCCATCATCAAGCACTGCGATCATAAGTAAAAGACGTCTCAGATCTAACAATGTTGATGTATTGTTAAAGATTGATATCAATGGTCTAATTTCAAGAACTTACGACTAGAAGAGCTAAAGGAACGAGCTCGGTGATGACACTGAAACTTTTGGTTCTTGGATCCATTTCCATGTCGAGATTTGAGATGACTCCTCCGAATGTTAAAACTGCTAGACCAGAGCCTACGAGAAGAACTTCTCTATAACCAAGATCATTTCCTTGCTCAAACCCGAAGATAAACGGGTAATTTACTCGGTATCGACTCCAGAAATATATGTCTGCCGCATACATAAACAAATGAACCGCAACAAACCCGAACAAGCTGCGGAAAAAGTGTTAGAAAATCGTAGGATTTATTAAGTTTCTTGAGGTTCTAACTCAAAATTAATTGACAATCGGATTGTTCTATGTACTTTATATTTACTTTTTCTCTATCTCTCTTTCGATGTAGGATTCCTATTCCTCGGTTTCAAAAAGGATGAATGTAACTTTATAACGGACCTGTAAAGAGGGAAAATGTTCTCCATGTACTGATGCCGGCCCTCACTTTTTGTTAAGCCTCTAATATGTACAAGAACCGTTATTGCAATGGCGAGAGCCACAGCGCAACCGGAAAAGAAGCCTATATATGAAAATGAGGTTTTAGTCTATGAGAAAGAGAAAATGTCTTTCTTTTTCAGTTTTATTTATAAAAGAACTTAAAATGATGAATTGAGTACCAAGGAAGTAGGTGATTCTGTGTTTCTCCCTCTTAGTTTTAGGCCTTAAACATTTCATTCCTTCTCGGTGATTTCCATTGGCGAAATGCTTAATAAACGTCGCTTCTACTCTCGACATGAGCCTCGAGACCTGAAAATGTACAAGATAAGTCTGGTTTTCTAACACTAAACTTAAAGAAAAGATGATCTGAAAATATATGTATTAACCTCATCGCAGCTACCCAAATACGAATGATCCACTGTATTTAGATAAGGCTTTGATGCATTCCTCGAAGTAGTCTGCGGAAACAATACACAGATATCACAGTAGGAACAAAAGAACAAATACAGAAAAAATTCGAAGTGAAAAGATTACAAACCTTGTCATACTTCTTTAGTATCTTTGCAAACGCCAATTGATTCAAGAAGCTGCAAAGAGAGATGCTGAGAAACAGAGTTTTTGAGAAACCAGAGGATCTTTATAAAAATATTCTTACCAATAACTCTTTAAAAACCTAAGTTTCTGATAGAACTCAACAAAAGCACGGTTCATAAGTTCCTCAGCTCTCTTAAGCTCGGGTTTGCTGAAGGTTTGCTCACTTGGGAGACCGAGGATCATCAATTTAAGAGTTGACAACGGAGTTTCCGGCTCAATTTTGAGCTTTATATGATCCAACATTTCTACTGGAGCAGGTTTAAATACTTTCTTATCTTCTGTTTGTTCCATTTCTCTGATCACATCCATTGGTGAAGTGGCTACAATATCAGATATATTCACATCAACCTTTATCAGAAGCTTAACGTTTGATTAAACATCACTTAATGCAGAGAGTTAACAACTTTACATTAAGAAAATAAAAACTTTAAACGCGGGAAAATTTACTTCTTGTACATGTCTTAACACATGTAATTTCTAGCACCCTTCAAACTAATTTGATTAACCAACTAAAAACATTTTTTTGTAACCGAGGTAGATCCTAGGCCGAAACTAGACTAATCTCCGACTCGGAAGCCTATAGAAAGCCGGGTATTATTGCAACTTAAGACTTCTATAGTAGCCGAAAGGTATTCCAACAATTTTGTAGATGGTGAGACTCATTCCCAAACCTAGACCCACTAGGAAAATCCTCACCCACTCGAACAAACCACTAGACCACACGCTCTTGGTTCGTTTTAAAAACTTTTCTGATACAAAAAAAAAAAGAAGATAAAACTATAAAAGAATTTGATGAAATGGAGCTAACTAAACCTGGAGTCCTCATTGTTGTATGAGGAGAAGCAGGAGCACTCGCGACGCTATTAAGGTCAGGAGGAAGATGAACATTAGGATTCTCAACTTTAACTCTAAGAGCAATCAAAACATTTAATTGTCTGCTTAGCTCATCAGCTTCCTCCATTACATTTTCAACCTTTTGCTTATAAAATCTCAAAACTTTGTTGAATTCTCCATCGAGTCGCCGAAAAAACTGAACCTCCATCTCCCCTCCTTCCTCTGCCGAGCTAAGAAACGTCGTCGTATAACTTGACGTCTCGTCTTCATTAATCAAAATGACCTGTTCCTCGTCATCGTCAAAGAGATGATAATGATGATGATGATGATGGCGTTTGCTGCTTAAAGGATTATGATGTTTGTGTGATTTTTTCGGAGAACGAGAAGCTCGGTTTGTTAGACCGCTAAATGCGCGGTAAAGAGAGATTCTTCTCGATAATCCTGCTGCGCCTGTTCCGCCTCCTCCGCTGTCTGTTTTGAGCGGTACGGTGTCCCCGTTGGGAGGAGGAGGAGGAGGAGCAGGAGGACGTTGTTGTTTTTGTAGGCGATAACGAAGGATCTGTTTAACTATTGATTTAAGAGAACGATAATCCATATAGGCTTCTTTCCATTCTTGGATCATCTGCGTTTCAAATTCTCTTCCAAACTTCATCTTTTTCTTTGGATCTGAATGTTTTTTTCCCCGGAAAGATTGGAGTTTCCCGGGAAAATCCAGCAAGAACAAGAACAAAGAAAATCCTCTGTTTTTGTTTTTTTTTGATAAAAGAAAAAAATCCTCTGTTTCTCCTTCGTAATCTTTAGTCTTTGAAATTTTGGTTATGGAATTTTGTTTTTTATTTGGGTGTGTAAGAGCTGGATCAAGTTTCTTTTTCTGGTAATCAAAGACTATATATGTGTGTGTATCAAGATTAATTTGGTAGAAAGAAAATTATAACTAGAAACATGAGAAAAACAGAGTTATTTTGTGCATTTTCATTCCCAAATCCGAATACAAATATCATGCAAATAATAGAAAAAAAAAATATAGTATAAACGGGAAAAAATCACTAACATCACATTCGAATCTGTGTCTTTTTGTAACCATCTATAGTACCAAATGGGATTTAGGGAAATACGAAACTTAATGGATTGCAATATAAACTTGTAAATTTATAATTCTAGTGTTGAAAATTCATGATCATATACCATAAACGTTCTTTATTTTCCAACCATGGGTAATATAGTTACAAAATATAAATTGATATGAAAAGAAAATTAAAATTCTCATAATGCGTTAGATATTAAACCCTTACTGAAAATAGCTGCATGCATGCTAAGGACAAAAATGTAAATATCTACATTTCCAAATCCCACATTTCCAAATCCCAAATATTTATCTGCTTTAGAGAAAAAATATCCTAATTGCAAAATTTGTATCATTTCAAACCAAATGATCGTCGAGATAAGAAAAAAATAAACAAACAAAACCAAAACTATGGCGGTCTAATTCATTTGAAAAAAAATATATGATACTCCCTCTGTTTCATTATATAGGATGTTTTTGAATTTTTATTGTTTCATTATATAAGATGTTTTACAAGTTTCAATACAATTTTAAATGTATTTCATATTTTTTATTATATAGATTATATGCAGTCTCTTTTGTAATTGGTTGATTTTTTAAAAGTCTAATATTAAATGATAACTTTAAAAAGAATATTAAATTTCTTACTTTTTCAAAAAAAATAAAAATATATTAAATTTCTTAAACAATGTGTTTTTAGCTAAAACTTCATATAATTTGAAACAGAGTAAGTACATTTTTTTCGAATATATGGTTATTAAATTATTGAATGGTTCTTTGTTTTCATTTTAGGCTAGTGATGGATGGGTCAACCTAATTTTATTTAAAATGGTTATCCCCTTATTATTAAAAGGGAAGTACAAATTGAAAAATGGTCAAATTTAGCCTCAATTTCAATTTCAATTTTGGATTTTGTTCTTTGTTAATCAAAATCGACAAGGGCATTTTGGTCATAAAGTTTCATTAAACTTTAAGAGATCCGCGTGTTAATACTCGGGTGGGTTAGGAGTAATTAACTCTTAATCACATAGTCAAGTTCTTAATCGGGTTTAGCATCCACATAAGTCAATCTAAGCCGTTCAAATTATTTTGTAAATTTAGTTCATTTTTGGTATCTAAATATGAGCATATTCGATCATAATAACTGCAAATTCAATGTAATTATCTCTCATAATAACTACAAATTCGATCATATATTGCCTAATCCCAAAAAAATCGTAATTACTATCTCTCATAAATATAATCCTAACCATAACCAACTCTACAATATTCATCATTTATCTAAATATAGCCAATCATTCAATTCTATTCCAAATTCGAATATATTTTGTTAATAGTATCTTTGATTTTATGCTTTGTCTCCAAGATATTCTCCTAGATTTTAAAATTATTGGAGCCAAAAACCCTAGCATCCTAGAATGCTATAAATATCAACGTCATTCTCATTTCCAATCCATCACTCAAATTCCTCTAACCTTAGCATCCTTCTTATTTAGATATCACAAATGGCTCAAGCAATTGCTTACCTCGATGACATCAAACCATACAAAACCACTTGGAGAGTTCAGGTCCGTGTCCTTCATACCTGGAAGACATTTACCACAAAGTTTGGTGAGACTTTCGACATGGTTCTGTCTGATGTCAAAGTAAGAATTCTTTGACATGTCTATATTAGTTCAATATATTAAAATAAGTTGTCTAATGATATACTAATATATTTCTATTTCTATGGTAGGGCAAGAAGATCCATGCGTCTGTGAAGAGAGAGCATCTCAACCGTTTTGAGAAGCTCATGGTTCCAGGAGAGTGGAAGGCTATTGAAAACTTTGGATTGACTTATTCAACTGGTCAGTTCAAAGCAACTGATCATCGTTACAAAATGGGCTTCATGGCGCAAACAAGAGTTGTGAGGATGGATCCATTGTCTGATTCTTATTACCTGTCATTGACTCCTTTCAATGATGTTTTAACTGCTGGTCTCAACCAGAACTACTTGATTGGTACATTTTCATATTAGCTATATTTTCATTTTTATCTAATCCTTTATGCAATATATATTGACGTTTTGATATTCTCTTTTGGTTCAAGATGTTGTCGGTCAAATCGTGAATGTTGGTGAAATGGAGACTATCGACGTGCAAAATAAACCTACTAAAAAGATTGATTTTGAACTGAGGGATCATACGTAAGTTTCATTCATTAGTTCTGTCGGCATTAAAATTAAATATGTCTTATTTTTGAATCTAATATTGCTATTACAATATTTAGGGATGAAAGGCTACCCTGTACTCTATGGGGTTCATTTGCAGAACAAGTTTTCTCTGCCTGTGAAGCTTCTGCTGGTGAGATGGTCATATGTTTGGTGAGATATGCTAAGATCAAGACTTACAAAGGTATTTTGTTTTGGTATTAATATCATACTTATAGTTTTTTTAAATCTTTTAAAAATTGAGCTGCTGACACTTTCTTTATGTTTTGCTTTCTAGATGTAAGGAGTATCTCCAATGCTTTCAATACATCTCAGATCTTGATCAATCCAGACATCCCTGAGATTGTTGCCTTCAAAGAAAGTTTACCAAAAGATGGGCTTGCTCTTACTCTTCTTGAGTCTAAACCAAAGCAGGAAATGATCGAGCTGACTACAGGGGATTTCTATCTTCAGTTTCCTAAGAAGACCATCAAAGAAGTCGCTGAGATGTTTGATGTAATAGTTCTTTTTTTCTATTACATTCTAATTTGATTGCATAGTTTATTCTAACCAACTTTTAAATGTTCCTATTTTCAGACTGGGAGGGTTAAGGTGCTCTGTACAATATATGATATTGACAGAGATTGGTCGTGGTATTATATTGCCTGTAGGAAATGCAATAAGAAAGTGTCTAAGGTTGTCACAACTTCTCTCAAGCCACAATTCTGGTGTGACTCTTGCCGATCACCTGTGTGCAATGTGGTTGCAAGGTATGGTTCATAATCTACTGATATATTAATGATTTATTTGTTACTGAAATGTCTAATTGTAACGATGAACTCAACAGGTACAAGCTACATGTTAAAGTAATGGATTCAACTGGTGAGATGAAGCTGATGCTTTTTGATAGTATGGCTTCTGAGATTGTTGGCTGTCCAGCAAACAGTCTCCTTGATGGATCGTTCGATGAGTTTGAGGACCCAGAGAACCTACCTGATGCGATCAGACATTTGACTGGTAAGACATACCAGTATCTGGTCTGTGTGGAGAATGAAAATGTGTGGAATGGACTGGATACTTATAAGGTATCCAGAGTTCTTGCTAATGATTGTGTTGGAGAGGAAGATCTACCAGATGATTCAATTGATCAGGTATGGAATATTATAAATTTTGTCTGAGGTCCTACCCCCTATGATTTGAGAAGAATTCGATATATCAATAATCCTAATCTTATTATGTTTTAGACTCAGGGGAGCCTGCTGCTTACCTACTCTGGAGAGCCTTCAGAGACTACTACTCCATCTTCTAAGAGGAGTAGTGACAGTTCTCTGTCACCAGCTGATAATTCCTCTACAACTAAGAAACTTTGTCTTGAGTCAATCAACGTTGTGAAGATAAAGCAAGAGAAGGGTGTGAAGACTAATGAAGATAAAGTCGATGGAGTCAAGCTCGAGTGTGTTGCTCTGAAGCAGCATGAAGAGAACACTGATGAAGACAAAGTCAATTTGGACAAGCTCAAGGGTTCTGATGTTAAGCAGAAGAACAAGAATATGAAGTAGTTGACATCCAACAATGTTTTTTCTTTTTAGATTTGTGTTTTCAATAAATGGTTTATGTTAGCAGTTTACACATTTGCTTCTGTTTTCTAAAATTTGGAATGTTATTTGGTTTTATTGATTTTTCTATTGGTTTTTATTACAGTTAATATCTGTTGTTTAATGTTTCTTTAAATGTTTCTTTAATCACTGGAAAACATACATCAGTGTTCTTATTATGTTGGTTTGATATTTCTCTAAAAACTTTTTCTTAATTGTATAAGTTTTTTCATTTGTTTTTTTCCCTATTGGTTCTTTAAGTTTTTAAGTTGAATTCTTCATCTTAATTCGATATATGATGTATAAGATATGTTCCAAGAAGCTAAACATTCACGTATAGTAAAAAAAGACTTACTTTTATGGTATTCTTCAGCATGTATTTTCCAACTGCACCATAAGGTTAATGCACCTAATCCTGTCAAAATGAATCAAATATGTAATTTTTACGGTTTATTGGACCAGGAGTAAGATACAAATATTCTCCTCTTACCAAATACACAAAGAGTAAATATATTAATATTTCAGAAAAATAATAACAAATATACGGTTTAAAGAATTAAAATCTTACCGGTGAGAGAAGTATGGAAACTCTAAATCTATCAAATCATTGTTATTATTACGTTTCCATTTTCAATGCTAATGTCAGTCCATATGTAATCATCACTTATAGATAATATTGAACTTTTATTGTTTTTTTAGGCTTAAACGTTTCATATAACTGCTAAGGAACTTCTCTTCATAAATATATAACAAGATCTCCACAGAATTAGTCATAGGGAAACCCTAAATCTAAAAACATTTTCCGCAATTCTAAAAGTTGCTGTAACGTATGGAACCTCATCATTATCTTTCTGATTTGAATGTTCATTCAACTAGATGGTTGGTGCATGTGAAGATCTTAAGTTTATGGAAAGAACCTACTTC